AAAGAGAGAAATGAGAGAATGGGGGGGGGGGGGTAGGTCTTTAGGGTTAATTAAGGTAAGAGAAGATCTGGACTGTTGATCAAAATCGATCAACGATCCAGATTAAACAAGACGTTGGATCGGGCGGAATTAATGGACTGTGCCTGGTATTTGGCCTGTTTTAATTGGGTTTGGGGTCTGGTTTAATTAGGCTAAAATTAAAATGAAAGTAGGCTATTTGTTAAATACCCAATTAAATTAATTAAAATAATTTGTAAAAATAGCTAATAATCACAAAAATGAATTTCATGCATAGAAAATAATTTAAAATGATTATTTAGTATTTTAAAATACAAATGACTAAATTTTGGGTAAAGATGGTATAAAATTATATGATTGGGCTTGCAAAATAATTTGGTTTAAATAGGACTATGAATAATAAATTAAATCAAGAAATACTTTTGAAATCATTTGTAATGTCATTTTATAACTTTTTATTGGAAATAAAATACTGGGTAAATTAATAAAAATATAGGAAAACTATGAAAAAAATACAAATTGCTATTAATGCATGATTTAGAAGGTATATATGCAATTTTAAAAAATTGGGTATCAACAATTATCGCCATATAACGACTCATAACCGAGGTTTTTATCGAACCGTCGAAGAGTCAGGCAAAAATTATTTCAAAAAGTCCTTAATGAGGGAAAAATAAAGCCAATAAAAGGTCGCTTCGACCCAAGGCGTCAGAGCCATTGTCACCAACCCACATTAAAAGGCCGCATTGGCCCAAGGCATAAGAGCCATTGTCGTCAACCCACACTAAAAGGCCGCATCGGCCCAAGGTGTAAGAGCCATTGTCGCCAGCCCGCACAAATACAAAACTTGAGGGTCGAATGAGCTCGAGTCGAAACTCGATTTAGAGAATGAACCCAAAATAGTAAACTAAATATTCCTAAGAGTAAGGCGTAAGAGCCATTGTTTCCAGCCCACACTAAAAGGCCGCATCGGCCCAAGGCGTAAGAGCCATTGTCGTCAGCCCCCACGAATACAAGACTTGAGGGTTGAATGAGCTCGAGTCGAAACCTGATTTGGAGACTGAATCCAAAATAGTTAACTAAATATTCCTAAGAGCAAGGCGTAAGAGTTGTTATCGCCAGCTCACATAAAAGATTGCATTGACCAAGCACTTAAGAGCCTACGGGCCAGCCTAATGAGCCCCAGGGCCATATCACGAATCTAAGGATTCCTACCAACTCAAAGACCAGTTCACCTGGCCAAATTCGAGACAGAAAGAGATACAGAAGAAATAAAGCCGCAAGGTTTTCTTTTATACACATATACATAAAAACGCAATCTCCATCTACAAACATGCTTTGAAAATGCTATATACAAATGGCGAAATCTACGCCCCCTGGGAGCAATGGCCTTCCGACCTCGTTTTCACTTTCTTCGGCATCGGACATAAGTAACCGAGCATCACACTCATCTGCCCTCGCTCGCACCAACTCTTCCGAGAGGGCAAAACCCCTAGCACGGATCTCCTCGAGGGTCTTTCTCAGAGACTTGCAACAATCATATTCTTCAATCCTTTCTTCACGGTCGAGGATCCTTCTCAACTCAGCTTGAGCAACGATATCGTCCTTTAAATAGATTGCCATCTCCTGGTCAGCCTTAGCTCGGCTCATTACGGCTTTAGCCCGGTCATCAACGATCTCAGCCTTGACCTTTGAAAGCTCAAGCTCGAGCTTCTTAATCATATCAGATTTAACCGAAGCTTTATCACGAGCTTAGCGAAGTTGAGCCTCAAAAGCGGGAACTTTAGCTAGAGCACCCTTCCCTCTAGAGCCTGCATCTCCACCCGAGCTTTTAGCTCATCATGCTCACGCTTGACTTAGCCAGCTTCATCCCAAAGGTGCTCTAAGGCTTCTGTCTTTTTCTACAACTGAAATAAATGAAGCGTTAGCCTCAGAATCTAGAAGGCGGAATGCACGCTCACCCGAGATAGAAAATTACCCACTCTTTCAAGTAGTTCTCATAATTCAAGCTCTGGCTCACCTCATACAGCAAGTGTACCAACTCGACTTCCTTTTCATCGCAAAGGAGCCTAAGGTATCTCTCCTCATCCAAAGCTTTCCGCATCTTGGCTTTACAACGAAGCAGCCCGGACTTAAGCTTGTCGAAGGCCTGCAAAAGAAAACCCAATAAGGAAGGGAAGACGCGAAGTTCGAAAGTCCTGTGCCAAAACTCACCACGAAGTGAAGCCGCTGGGCTTCCTCGAAGGCCGAGCGCATATCTGCCAACCCAGTTCCCTCAGCTCTGAAAGGATCGACTCCAGTCGAGGCACGGTTTCTTAGTGTATGCGACCCCGAGTTTCTAGTATCCCTCGAAGTACTGTCGATGAAAAAAGAAGGCGACAACAACGGAGAAACCATCTTTCCAAAACCAGGAACTATGGACGTGGCAGGCTCGAATGATGCTTCCGCTCCGAAGCCTCGGTCCCGTTTTGCCTTGCTTTGAGTGCCATTGCCCTGTAAAAGCATCTTTTGCTTATTGTTGTCGTTCTTTAGCCCGAAAGCTGGCAACCCTTCCTCCTCTTCAGAGGAGCGCGACCTCGCCTTGTCAGCGGTCCGCACTCGGATGAAGCGACTCATCCACTCTCGGTCTCCATCTTCCTCATCATCAACAACGAAGGGCGTGGTCGATCGACATCGCAAGGTTAGCAGACCTCGATGGTTAAAGGGCTGATACAACCTAATAAGATGACTAATCATAAGTTCAAGCCCCGCCTGTCAGACCTCCTTTTTCCTACACCCGAAAGGCACAAGGGAGTTTTTCCAATTAAAGGACAATCGAAACGGGATTATTTATATTAAGGAATTCAGAGTCGCCACTTGGGATATTTATGGTGTCCCAAGTCACCGGTTCAAATCCCGAATCGAGGAAAAGGTTGACTCTGTTTTACAGTCCGCGGATCAGAAATCCGGGTAAGGAATTCTGTTAACCTGGGAGAAGGTGTTAGGCATTCCCGGGTTCCGTGGTTCTAGCACTGTCGCTCAACTATTATTATTGGCCTAATTATCTGATTTTAAAACACTTTCAAACCTATATGCATTTTCAACTATTAAACCGCTTTTAAATTACTTGGTTTATTCATAGTTAAAGATTTGAGTTACGCGTACGTATACTCTTTTCTTTTGGTGCGTCAAAAATCATGTGACGCGAACATGTCCACAATTAATAACGCTTTATTTATTTATTTAAGAAAATTTAATTGAGGTTGCGCGAACGCATCCCTCGAGTCTTTTTTAGAGTTAAATTCGCAATTATGTTACGCGAACGTATACATATTCACAATGCTAATCTAAATCGAGCCTAAAGCAAACTACGAGATTTATTAATTATTTTTCTAAAGCTAATTTAAGATTATTGTGAAGGCCATGTTATGGAAATTAATATAGAAAAAGAGATAGATTATTTACATAAAGATGAAACTAGCTTGTGAATTTTTATTAGCTCTTGGCCAATCAGACTTTAATTATCTAAATCCACATGGCCAAAAAAAATCTTCATTGCTTTAAATCAAAATATGAGGTTCGGTTGCTAAACAATTTTTAAACAAAAGGCTCAAGTATGGAAATAAACCATCTACTAATTGAATGCATAAAAAATGGATCAATCATGCCAAACAAACAGCAGAGAAAGAAACTTCACAATTGCATACATTTACTCTAATTTGTGTTATACGTAATGTGTAATGGTGAAAGAGAATCTCTACTCCATCACTTGAGTGCACAAACACTTCAATCTGATATTTCAAGATACTATAGCCAAAAGCAAAAGTAAAAGCAAAAGCAAAAAGGGTGCTATTATTTTAACCGTTTTTAATATTTCGGGAAAAATTCAAAGTTATTTAAAACACATCGTAAGCCACGCTACATAAATGCATCCGCGGTTCGCAACACATTTTTATCTAGCATTGTTAAGATTTAGATTTGGGTCACATAAATGTACACCCGAGTTTAGGAAAGTAATTTTTTAAATTACGCGCCTAAAGCAAGCTACGAAATTTGTATTATTTTTCTAAACTACTTTAAAATTATTGTGCAAAGTCAAAGAAATTATGGATAAAAAATATTAAGGAAGAAATGACGTAATCTAGTCATTAGGCTATTTAGATCAATTGCATCTTAAAGTTGTCATGCCTTATTGATTATCAAAGTCATCTCAAAACCAAAAGCTTTTAACAATTCCATAGTACTACCGTGACCCACATGTTATGAATCACTTTAATGCAAACCCAAAATTACAAGTGCTAATTAAACACAATTATCCGTTCAATTCACCATCAAAACTTACGCATTCACTTAAATAAGAAATGACAACAAATTAATCTAAAGGATACTAAGAAACAGATTACTCAATAATGCACAAACCAAGGTATTTACTACTCACAAATGAAAAATATGGCATAACATGGAATAAGTACTAAATCAATATATAAAAATGCAACAAATAGTTTACCATCAAAATTTATGAATTACCCATTTAACATGCCAATTCAAGATGACAACTGTATACACGTATGCAAAGACAATGGAATTAAAACTATATCAAAGTTTTTTTTTTAAAAAAAAATGCATGAAGACAAAGAGAGATGTGACCCTAGCTAAGATAGTCATAATTGAAAATGATATGCATGTTAGATATGTTAGATGCTATCCTTACTAAAAAAAACAAATATCAAACTTTAACAGTGGGTCCGCTACACTCTTCCCCTTACCCATTTGACATTTTTGTAAACCAAGACATACATTCTGTCAGAAAGGACAAACTTATGAAATGAAAATTCATTATCAAACAATACCAAGTATGACAACCACATTTTATTTACATTATACACATAATTCCGTCCAACAAATTTAATTTCCATTCACAAAGAGTTTCATGCGCAAGATTTTACATGCAGTACGCTTCACTTCTTACACATTTTTTATAATAAAAGAGATCTAGTCAGTGATACATGCAGGAGTTCAGTTGGACATTTTTCGGACCCACAAGCTAACATTTAACATATTGCTGTACTAATCTAAATGATTTTCACACTTTAATGAAGCGAGAATCATGACGCTAATTATGGGATGGGAATTAAATGGATTTAAAGAGATAGACGAATGCACAAATAAACAGATCTAGAAACAAGGACTTAACATAAGCAGAATTCATTCTAAATTCCTATCAAAATGAAGTTTACATACCTATTAGAAGGTAAATCAAAAATAAAACTCTGAAAATGGTAAATGGAGTTCAGCAGTGACTATAGCAGCAAGAAAGAGTCCCTCACAATACTTCTTGAAGACCAGGATTAGTGAAAGAAAACCCGAAACGCTAAGAAACCAGAAAAAACCCCGAAAGCTTCAGATCAATTTTTCTTTTTGTGCCCACCTCCCATCCCTTTTTTTTGTAGAATGTCCTCTTTTGTGTATTTTAGCTCTTCAAAAAAAAACTCTCTCAAAATCTCTTCAGTATTTTTTTTAGTATTTTTCAGAAAATGTTCTTCTTCATTTCCAGTATTTTCAGAATCTCTCTTGTTTTTGAACTCAGTGTATGTGTCTCTGAATCCCCTCCTTCCGTGATTTTCAGCCCCCTTAAAATGGGCATTTCATTAGTGCATTTTCCACTACAACTTATCTTCTTTATATTTTAAACCCAAATCAAATAAGAAAAACTCAAAATATTTTGGTCCCCTCCTTTTTCCCCGAAAATCCTCCTTGTCTCTCAAAGTGTTGTTCCCCACTTTCTCTTTTTCTATTCTTTTTTTCCATATCTATATCGTGTGTGTATATATCTTGCACAAAAAGCAAAAGATAGGAAGAATTGTGTGAACCCCATGTGCTTGAACTATTGTCCATTCATGTGCACTGTACTTTTAATTAAAATGATACAAAAATGAGGATATGTATGTTTGGAATGTGTGGACCCCTCTAGATTGTTGTTGGAATATTTCCACAAACACACGAAGATAACTTGGAAAGGAACACTTTGAAATTTCATTTCCTAGCATTTCTGCTTTGTGCTTCGTTATTTTTTTTTTTCAATTTTCATTGTTTTTTTTTTCTTATTTTTTTTTTTTGGTTAAAGATAAACCAACATACTAATTATTTAAATAGTAAGAAATAATTAAAAATAAAAATAAAATAGCCATAAAGAATTTTAAAAACTACTCAATACTTATTAAAGACTTTCAATTTTAAACTAAACTAAATATATATATATATATATTTTAAATCCTTCTTTTAATCTTTTTTGGAAATTAAAATGCAAAGACTATTTTTATATTTTTTAATTTTATGAAAAGTAAGAAAAAATTAAAAGCTTGATATTAAAACACAATTAGCTAAAAATAATATTAATTACCTTTAAATAATAATTATCATAAATAATTAAATACTAAATTAAAAGAAAAATCACACAATTTGACTAAAAATACAAAAATATGTTATTTTTGTAAATTTTCATTTTTGTATAACAACAATTTACTTAATTAATCTAAAAATGTAAAACTAAATTCTAAATGCAGATGCTATATTTTGTATTTTCAATGCATTAATAAAATTAAATGTGCACAAAATATGCAAACACTCAAGCAAACTGCACAGTAATTCCTAATAAAACAAATCTAAATTTGGATTTTTTTTTGTGGAGTAATTCATGTAAGGCAAAAATCACGTGCTCACATCTGCCCCTCTTTGTCCGGAAACACGAAGAGTTTTCGTGCAAAGATAACGTGAGCGGATACAAGCGATTTTTGCCTGTTTGAATACTCCGCGGGAAGCATTTTTGAAAGATTTGACTGAACCTATGCTTCAAAGGTTTCCTACATATCCTTGGCTATAAAGGAATCAGGTCAATGTAGTTCGGGAAGTTTTGGTAGCTGAGACTACCATGAAGCTGCGGTTTTACTACTACTGTTGCTGCTGCTGCTGATACTGCCTACTGACCTCCTTATTACACCGTGATAAAAATGAAGAAGCTAGACTAAGCTATAATCTATGCTTTACAAAGATTTATTTTCAATATTGATCTTGTGACTGATGTTGCCTCGTTGACTTGTATTTTCCTTAGAAGTTCCTTTGTGACTGACTTGAATGGTATTTTTTTTGAAATGCTTTCCCTTCTTCTCCAGGCGGGTACCTAATTGCTGAAACTTTTAAATGTCTTCCTTTGACTTTTGTTTCCTTTCTTCTGTTCTCCAGGCGGGCTCCTGATTATTTGAAATTTGAATTATATTCCCTTGCTCTCCAGGTAGGTGCCTGATTGCCGAAACTTGAAGTGTATTCCCTTGCTCTCCGGGTGGGCGCCTGACTGCTGAAGCTTGAATTGCATTCCCTTGTTCTTCAGGTGGGCTCCTGACTGCTGAAACTTAAAATGTATTTCCTTGTTCTCTAGGTGGGCTCCTGATTACTGAAACTTGAAATGTATTCCCTTGTTCTCCAGGTGGGCTCCTGATTGCTGAAACTTGAATGTATTCCCTTGTTCTCCAGGTGGGCTCCTGACTTTAACAAAATAGACAAAACAAGGAAAATTTTCTGCCTCAGTTTGGTAGCTGGGCACATATGTGAACTAAATCATGTTACCAAACATCAGTAAGAACTTGAAAGTGGAAACTTGAATTGTACTCCTTGTTCTCCAGGTGGGCGCCTGATTGCTAAAACTTGAATTGTTGTTCCTTGTTCTTCAGGTGGACGCCTGATTACTGAATCGTTAACGATTCTTCCTTGTTCTCCAGGTGGAC